AAACAATTGACTAGCTCAGGTGATCAACTACACTAGCCCATGGTATATATGGAAGGCCATCACTGGGGTGTAGATTGTAAAATTTGGACAATGACATTGACCTGAAGCTTCAACACTTGAGCTTGGGCAGCCAACACAGACATTTGGTGCTCAACAGCATCCAGTGCCTTATGAAGGTGAACCAAACTGGAAGGAACATCCAGTCAGCAATTCCACCAGCATCTGGTATCTGCCCTAAGACTTCCTCGCCCAAGCGCGCCCTCAGTGTGGCTAGCATCAAATCTGAAGAGTATCCTCCTACATTGAGCCGTATGGGGCAGCAAGGTTTCACTGGCTCTATATTAGCACAGTCCAACTGGCGGCGTCCTATCAGGGGGTTGGGCGAGATGAGGCAAAGGCAAGGGGTTGGCTGGAAGATCCACAACAGAGGGCAGGGGTGACACCGACTCCTGCTTCATAGCACCTATAGGGGGAAAGGTGAAACCCAGAAGTTCACCTGTTTTCATTAGTGCAGAAAGAAAAGGACATAAAATGGATATCATACCTGACTTCAATTTCTTTGTCTTCTTCTTGGCCGGCTTGTCAACCTCAAGAACATCAGGTTCTATATTTGCCTCATATACGACCTTTCCATCAGCCTTCTTTCAAATAACTCCTCTGGGGCCAGAGCTACATGTGTCACTGTAAGAAATGTACTAGTAAGAATGCAGATACGCAACTCACGTGTTGGTGTGACAACTTTTTCAGACCCTTGCGGTGTCTTCCCTGATTATTTGTGTGAGTATTGCTCCAGCAAACCAAGCTTTATACAAGACTCACCATTGGGAGCAGGTGTGCCAACCTTGAGTTTTGACTGGTGTGCCCATGATCTCATGACATCAATCATGCCTGTACTCAATTATATTGACACTTAGCAAGCTTTTCATCACACTTGGCAGCCAACCCTTTGGAACCATCCAACCAATGCTAGACCATGTCTTCCCTTTCCTCCGTGTCTGCCATGTTCATCCAGGGGCGCTTGCGCAGGGCTCCCCTTCACGCCTCACTCAACTATATACAGGTCTCTGCTGGGCTCTCAACATGGAATGGGGTTAAAGAAAAGGTGGTGAGAAAGCCACAGCCATGGGCAGCATAGGCGGTGAGAGCACTGGGTCAAGGAACGTGAGCAAGGATATTGAGGATGAGAGTCAGGTGGAAGGGCTGCATAGGGAAGACGAAGCAGAGTAGCCGGAGGATAAGGATAAGGAATGGCGATACAATTGAGATGAGCAAGGATTTTGGCCTAAAGAACAAAGGGGGCAAGCGGCCAGAAGGTGTGCGTGCTCCTTTCTTTACAAAGTTGGAACCATTGATATTAACACTTGATACTAGTGAATGAGAGTGGCACACAAGAACACCAGCAGATTGTCTGCACCTGCACCTGCACCTGCGGTGGCGGCAGCTTCAGCTTTCAATGAGTTGCCCTTCCATATTCTCTCCCTGGCTAGATAATGATGGTCAACAACCAGTTTAACCCCTTTCATTTATGAGCTCAGGCAACAGTTACCTGGTTCTATATTTAATCTGTCACCTCCTAAAATTGAGCACATTTCCATTCAGTGCACAGGCCTGGACATTTTCAACGACTATCTCTAGCTATACTGACCCATCCCACATGTTTTATGCCGGGATGGGGCCTCTGATTTACAAGCTCTCTTTTGGTGTCAAATATGATGCCCTTTGCTCTGCATCATTGTACCCAAGGCTTGGCCAAATACCTCCAGAGGTACCAAATGAGGCTCAACAAATGTGCGCCTGCACTCTGTCTTGGTCTGTTTCTTCCCCTCCATACTCAAGTTATCCCCGTTCATCCTGCCACATTTGCGTCTTTAACCTCCACCATCCATCCTCACTGTCATTCCCTCCTTGACGCTTCCCCCCTTTGCTCTCCTGCCCCCATGTCACCAGAGCCCTCTGCATCCCCAGCAAGATTGTCAACCCTTTTTCCGCCCGTGCGTCCCCTTCACGCCCTCTGGTCCACTCATTGCAGGCAGTCAACCGTGGTTCCCCAGCTCACTGCCTTGCCATTGCACCCTCCTCTCCCAACCCCTTCTGGATGCCCTTCACCACTATCTATGTGCATCTACCTGCACTGCAATGTGATACATCTCTTTGTTGCAATCTGCTAAGGTGATCAATCACATTGATTTGGTGTTTTTGTCCTTTGTTATTTTGTCCTTTGAAATGTACTTCAACATGGGGATTAGCACTTGTTCTGCCATGGCATGTACCAAAGAGGAAAAAGCAAAACCATCTGATGTCTTGAAAGTGTCAATTGCAGTACAGCCTAGTACCACTCATACAGGGGCTATATCCAGATAATCTCAAATAAAAGTGTTGCAATAACATTGTTCCTCCAGTATGGTCCTGTGCTTTTATTTTCATGTTCTACATAGACATCTGTCTCATACTCACTCATTATAGACTAGTTTGATCTAACAGTCATTCCAGATCCAGGTGTGCCCAGAGGGCTTGTTTTGAGCTTGAGAACAATAGGAGGACTATGCCAAGTATGACTAACACAGAAAATAGCTACAAACATGAAGTAAGTGATACACACACTTATTGACAACATCAGACTTCCCAAAAACAAGTCTGGCCTGCCCACGCTTGCCCACTGAGGCAGTCCCTGAGGGCACACCCTACCAGCTATGGCATGGGTGTAAGCCTGACGTCTCCCACCTCCGAGTCTGGGGGTGCACTGCCTATGTTGTGCAGAGGGATAAGTGTTGCTCTCTGGGGAGGCGAGTACATGTTCAATGAGTTCCTCGCCTTCACAGAGGAGGGCACACAAGGGCTGGAAGTTCTACAACCCCACCACCAAGTGCACTGTCATCTCAGAGTGTGCTGACTTTGATGAGCGCTACCTCCCTGGCCTCTCCAGGCCAACTCTCAGGATAGCCAAGGAAGACACACTTTTCCACATGGGAGCCTTGTCATCCTGCAGGGCCTTGATCCTGTGCTCACATTGGATCTCAGCAAAGGCTTTGAACCTTTTGAAAGCAGCAAAGACGTCAGACTTGGCCTTGAGAGGGACAACAACACGGTAGCGAGAGTAGTCATCGATGAAGGACACCCACATCTGAGTGCATGGGCTCGAGGATGCTGCTTACCTGCGAGACTGTCCAGCACCTCTGCATTGCTCCTATGCCCTTGGCACAGCAGCCCAGTGGCCTTGGTACGCTTCACAGCATTCCAGGACACTTGGGTAAAAAGAGGTAAAACTTGCCTGTTGTGTGAGTTGAACCTAGAGCCTTGTGGTAGTGCCCAGTATCTCGCAACTTTGTAACACGCTCAGAAGAGGCACTGGTGTCCAACAGTGAGCAAGTAGTATTGATAAAGACGAAATACAAGGGTACTGACCTGGTGTCCAACAGTGAGCAAGTAAGGAGACGCTCTGTGGACACCAGGGTTATATAGGTGAAAAGAAATAAGGTTTGGGAACTGTACAGTAGCTCGGAGTTCTCCATAGTAAGCCAAAGAGTAGAGAAAGGCAAAATAGGGGCAAAGTCGCGAGATACTGGAATAGGAAGGTGGTGAAGGTATAAACAAGAGACAAGCAGAAGTATACCTCAACACACAATTAGCTGAGTGGTTGCAGCGCTCTGGGCACTACCACAAGGCTCTAGGTTCAACTCACACAACTGGCAAGTTTTACCTCTTTTACCCAAGTGTCCTGGAATGCTGAAAGCGTACCAAGGCCACTG